AAAACCTTAGTCAGTGTCTAAACAGATGGCCTGCAAATTTACAGGTCTGGAAATTAGCATATCTGGGATCCATGGAGAAGTTAAAACTATGAAGACATAAGCTCTTCTTTAATAATGATTTGTCAACATTGAAGAGAATTATTATTTCCCATGAACCCAGAACTAAGACTTTAGAAGAAAAGGAACAATCTCATGAAAAACATATTACAGATCTGTAAAACTAAATTAAAGTACACCAGCAACTCACCAGAAACAGTCATTAAAAATAATGTTTCCACCTTTGGATATAGAATAGCAGAAGCCTCTATTAATTTACATGGAATCAACATGCATTCAGGAAATATCATTGCCAACTGATTTTAAACTTGAGATACTGAATGCTTACAGATAAAGAGAGGCAATGCCTAGAGATCTGCCCCTGTAACTGTTAAATTCCTAAAGCCTAGCATCAGAGGCCAACTTCTACAAACTCCAGGACAGACCACTGAATTGAAACATCATGGAAATAAAATAATGAATTATCCAGACCTTCCTTTGCTGGTGTCTAAGAAAAGCTTTGATTTGGCATGTACATTAGAAGGAACAAAGAAGTTAAATACCTTTTTTCCTATCCAGCAGTCATCTGCCTTTCTCCTGCAGAACAGATCAAAGGATTTACAGGCCCATCTGATGTTGCAGAATGTTAAGAGGCTCTGTACTTATCTGTACTGCAAGATGAATAACAATCTTGCCTTTTTTTCTTCTTGATTCCCTTAACAGTCACTACTACTATACTAGTATAAAAAGCTTTTTTTTAATATCTTTATTCCAGAGTTGGAGGGGGCAATACCCTAGCCAAACCAGAGGTTTAAAATGAAGTTATTCTTTTATTTTTATGTCTTTTTTAAGTTAATAAAGTTGGAGATAGTATTTTCTTCTTTTATCACATTTTAGCATTATATTTAATATTTTTAGGCTAGAAAGGGCAACTAAGAAGTTTTCAAAGGAGAAGAAAACAAAGGTATATTTTGGAGAACTGGACTGGGATCCAGCAATTCAAACTGCAAACAACTTTATGAAGATGTTAATTATTATTAATTATTAATTGCAAACAACATTATTAAAGAAAGACATTAGTTTGGGTTGTTCAATACTTGCATGGAACCATTACAAAACTGGGTTTGGATAAAAGCGACTGATAAGACGTTCAATGCTGTGCGGCAGCTCTCCCCACTGACAATCGGGAACAAACTGAGAAATAAACTTCTGGTACTGATCTACAAAGTTATAAAGTTTTCTGAGTTGCATGCAATAGGCTCGAAGACGAGAATGGTATGCGCCAAGCTTTTGGGTGCAATCTATTTTGCAGCCTCTTCACTAATTTCACGGCCTGTCAGCTTGACTTTACAGCTGCCACCGTTATTTTCGCCAAATTGCCGACATCCTTCCACCCCAACCTACCCAGAAAATGAAACTCGGGACGCAGGAATGACGGAAGAAAACCGCGCCTGCGCCTTGTTAAGCAACATAGTGGCGCTAAGGGAAAAAGGTGAGCACGCATGCGCAATCCCGCCCAGGGAAGCCGTTGCCTTGGTTACCGCGCTCCAGCTTGCCGTCTCCTCTTCCCTCACTCTGACGCCGTAGAATCGGTGCCCGCGAAAGCTTGGATGGGACGCCCCGTTTCAACTGCCGTCACCCAGCCGGAGTCTGTGGCCGGCATTGACTGCACCAGGCGTCCATGCTGCTGCCCAGCGAGATCATGGGCGCGGGAGTGACTTGGTGGCGGCAACTACCGCGGCCCACGCCGTGACTCAACGGCTTCCTCCCCTTCCACGTCCTCCCTGAGGAGGATGAAGAAGATGAAGAAAATCTTGGGGCTGGGGAGGAAGAAGAAGGAGCAACAATCTCCGTCGCGGAGCCGAGTCGTGGCTTCTGCCTCTGCCCCAGCCGCTCTGGGCTGTAGCGGCGGCGACAGGCGGGGGCGTTTAAACTCGCTCCCCGGACTTCTCTAAAATATATCCCGTGGCGGGCGCGGGGGGGCATCCG